CCTATTTACTATCTATCTCCTCAGGTTGGAACTGGCAGGCGAGGAAGAGCTAGCGACTGTTAACGCCGCTGTTGGAGCCCCGTTTGGTATCGATTTCGTATACTTGCCATTCAACCTCAAGAACAGAGCAGGAGTAAGGTTTTCCCGTTTTACTCTGTTGTTAGTATTCCTAATCATAGGTGAGCTATGGCTTCGTTAACCTTACTACTCCTGAGGCGCTGTTGACTTTCTATGATCGCTTCGACCAACACGAATGGAGATCAGGAACTAGCAGAACTCACAATGGGGGCGAGCGGAAGCCCTGCGAGATGTCAGCCGCTCGTTTGCAGGGTCAACACGCGCTGGTGAGAAGACCATATTTTAATTGAGGTTTTTGCTATCATCGTTATCAGATTGAGGCATTCGTGAATCGTCTTCACGCCAAGTCGGAGCATATCCCGTTACAAGCACGGCCTCTGATTTACGATCCTCGAGTGGTTGTGTCCACTGTCTCCTCCCCTGCTACTACGGAGGCGCCGTTGTCTACTATACCGCGATCGTTCCACCACCGACAACAACATCAACAACAGCGGCGTCCCTCGAGTGGATACTCTGGTGGAGTACCGCCAATGTCTTCACCATCTGGAGCTTCATCACCATCGCGGTCAACAACGTCACAACATCTTTCCCAGTCTTTGCTGCGGTATGGTTCTGGCGGGCGAGCCAAAGGCGGTGGTGGTGGTGGTGGTGGTGGCTCTTCTCTTACTACTATGCACTCACCACGCGAGCATAATTAGCCGAGTGGTGAACTTCCGAAGTCGATGACGGCAACAACAAGACAGGTGTTGTTGTTGTTGTGATAGAGATTTTACTCTCATTTACTCCTGTACAATGTACCTGACTAATGATAATTAGTTTTAACCAGTTTTTTTGAATGTACCATAAATCGGTTAAATCAGTCAACTGTCCATAGGCATTTACTGAGTCATGATAACATTGGAAACACCCAGCAGTTGAGTCATCATCATCATCATTTTTGCAACATATGCATTGCTATATCTCCGGTGATAGAACAACTATCTTCAGCATTCTCTGACTACCATTGCTGTTGCTGCTTCTGCTCCTCATCGATGCGAACGATTTATGGTCAGAAAAAACGCCTTTTCTTTTTGTTTATTTTTTCTGGCCTATTTGCCGTGCTTATTATGATGATGATGCTACAGCAGTATCAAGTTGAATGCGCGATGATTCAATGTTCACTTTTTCTTATACGACCGAATAGTTAATTCGTATACAATTCACGTTCATTTGTATTTGGGTATCCTGTTGTTCATCATGGCTCAGATGGCTGTCATGGCGATGATATATATACAATGCTAACCCTACAGTTATTGCGGCTTATATAGGATCCGTTTTGACTGACGTTGGTGTATATTCTCAATCGTTATGCTTTATTCACCTTATGCCGTAGCGTCTATCAAGTCATTTTATACTATCTCTTGAGGTCTGTCTTGTGGCGTCTGACCCGTTAAAGAGAAAAGGGGATATTATCACAATTCTTGTGTTGTCAATGTGTTGTTGGTTATGGACAACTCAGAATTCGGACGTAT